CAGATACAAATGTGTGTGTGTGTGTGTGTGTGTGTGTGTGTGTGTGTGTGTGTGTTAATTTTGGAATGCATCAGTAATCAGAGAGCATGTTGTTTCTTCTACAGTCCTCTGAGTGTGTAGATATAGCTGAAGGTCTTGCTGAAAGTTGCAGAGAAAATCTAGAACTGAGCCCCTGCAAAGAGATCTTCAGTGACTGTCGCAAGTAAGACGCATGCAAACACACTTGTGAACACCTGGACCTCTGTTGCTTTTAAACTAAGCTAATTCAGACATCTTAACCCCGGCCCCAACTGTTCTTGTTACAGATATCATAAGGTGTTTTTAGATTTGCATTCAAATGCTATTTATTATTTAAATAATTATATATCATATAAACAAATACTTGTTTTATTGATACTTTTTAACAATTATGCTCAACAAGACTGCATTTATTTGATAAAAAATACAGTAGTATTGTGAAATATTATCACAAATTAAAATGGCTGTTTTTTATTTTAATATATTTTAAAATATAATTTATTCCTGTGATTCAATCCTGAATTTTCAGCATCATTACTTCAGTCTTCAATGTCACATGATCCTTCATCAACATTTCTTTTTATTAGCAATGTTGAATACAGTTGTGCTGCTTAATTTCTTTCAAAAAAAGACACAAAAAAAATCATACTGTTCCCAAACATTTGAACAAGCTGCAATCATTTTGTGCAAAAATATTCCAAAATACTTGAAATAATAATAAAACAAATTTTTTTTGCACCTTTCACATACTGTTTTCAACATACAATAATTTGGACAATGTCATCCTAATATTGCATGCTATGTAATAAAGACAGTATTCAGAAATAAGTGCAGTTTTTCCACTGGGAATTGAATTGTTTTCTACAGACGTAAACACTGCTGCTTAATGTTAGCTCTTTACTGTAATCTTTACTTCTGGTACTCACAGAGCTGCCTCTGGTCTAACGGTCTCCATGCTGTTTTAATTCTCACAGAGCTCTTCATGACTACTTAAGTGGTGCTCCTTTTGCTGACTATCAGAACAGCATGTACTTCGACCGCTTCCTCCAATGGAAAATGCTCGAAAGGTTGGTTGCGCACTTTATCTCCCTTTACTCTGTCCGTTAGCCTTTTAGTCTGCTTAGTCTACCATTTGTGCCATTTCATTCTTTTGTTTTGCTTGGCTTAAACCAGACGTCCTGCGTCTTGATAAATCATATTCAGCTGTTATGGCAGTTCGGATGCTAATCCATTTAAATGATTTGTTAGCGTAATTGCTAACAGCTCAACACATGAAAGCAAACAGTCATGTTTTGGTCACGATAACATTGGAGTTACACAGCAGCGTCTCTGCTAGATATAAACTGATTTGAACATATTTGCATCTACGTAAGTGGCCCATAAAAAAGTTCTGAATTTTTTCTACGAACAATTCTAAGAAGGTTTTGTTTCACAAATCAGGTGGAAAATGTGTTTCTTATTGACTGTGGTTTATAATTGTAATGTAGTGTGTAACTTGTAGCTTGTGCTCCACCTAGTTTTGTTAATGGATCTGAATGCTAAAATGTCAGTTTCCTGTCTGTGCTGGTTTGATATCAGATTTTGTGGTTTTATTTCTAGACAACCCATCACAAAAGACACGTTTCGGCAGTACAGAGTTCTGGGGAAAGGAGGCTTTGGAGAGGTGAGGATATTGTGAACAGTGATGACCTGAACTGTGTGTGTACTGAATATTTACTCATTTGCTCTGCATCAAAACCTAGTGAGCTGCCTACCTAGAATGTATCTTTAGACACAAGTGTGCTCGAAATATAGGCTGCGACATCATAATGTCTCATTGTATTTCACTTAAAGGGGTCATATGATGCTGCTAAAATGAACATTATTTTGTGTATTTGGTGTAATGCAATGTGTTTATGCGGTTTAAGGTTCAAAAAACACATTATTTTCCACATACAGTCTGTGAGTCAGAACAGAACATTGTAGTCTACTCTACCAGGATCAGTAAACAGTCCTCCATAAAATGCACTGCACACATCTGAATATTTGGGTTGAAGTGTTCTGGAACAGTGTTGTAAATACAACTTAACCACTGATTTCTAGTCGTGTCCATTTTTTGGAAGACCAAACAAAGTAGTTTTGCTTTCACAACGAAACACAGCGTCACACACCGCAGCCTTTCTTGCTGATCAGAAAAATGATCCGATCCGTGGGTCAAAAACTGTAATGTGATCCGAATCTTGAGATTTGTGATCTGTTGAACCACTAATCAGAATGATTTCTGAAGGATCATGTGACACTGAAGACTGGAGTAATGTTAAAGACAGCTTATAGATTTAATATGGGCTGCTTTTGGTGGGCTTAATATGGGCTGCTTTTTTTATTGGTCATTTTGTGTTTCAAGAATAAGGTCCAATGTTAAGAATTATGCTACTAGTTACTTAAATATTAAATGTTTTTCTCTATTTAACAGCATTACAATAATGAAAGATGACTTCCCTTACTGATCACGTCTCTTGCGCGGCGTGATGTTGGACTCATGAAAAATAATCACGTAGTTTGTATTCACCAAAACTGATTTACTGAAAACACGGACGGTATTGGCATTAGCACGAGCACCGCTTGCTGTGAGGCAGGAGCAACCAGCCATCAGAGGGTTCCTCAGCCTTTGTTCAAGATTTCTGATTTACTTAACGTATACTGCGTGAGGGGGGCTGTGATTGGATGATGACAGGTGTCGGTGATCATTCTCAAGTGATCAGCACTGCTGCTGTTGTATCAGTCAGTGGTTAGATCAGCGTAGCAGTCAAAAAACGGGACAAGGGAAGTCACATACGGGACAAATCAATTAGGCCCAAAATACGGGACGT